GAACCGTACGCGTGTGATCTCTGTTAGAGTTCAGAGCACAAACAATACTAGGGTTCAACATGCATTAGTGTGAGAGAACATGGGAACACATTGAAAAATGTCTAAAATAATAAGACCTGTTTCATATTCAAATGCTGGGAATACTTATTCCAAGGAAGATAACAAAACACATGTGTCTTTCATGATCTGGGCTTCACTAACCAGCCAAACCCTGATCCCTTGGTCGAGAAGGAGATGTTAAAAATGTTTGGTTGACGTTAGAGTTCGGTTTGTTTGGATGCTGTGAAATTTTTTTTCCGAGCTCGGGTGCACAACCGTGAACCATTCCCGAGTCTGCATCTGGGGAACAGTTCATGTGAAGTACGGTACGGTTCTGCTGATTCGAACGCAATTGTACTAAATCGTGGAAGTGAACTCCTATTGATGACCAGGGCTTGACATTAAAGTGTAAATTGCAGGTTAACCACCACAACCAATTAATGTGTAAATTAAAGTGCTCAATGTGTATATATGTAAAAATTTCTGTCTTAAAATGCGTTAAAATAACATTTATTGGGGTTTCTTCAAAGGTAGCATGTTTTTTACAGTAACAGGGTGATGACGTCATAAGAGGGAGCGTGGGCGGTTATGCACTCACTCTGTGTGTTCGGGTTGAGGGAGAATAAAACGATTCGCGGGACTCCCGCAAACTAGAAATACCTAGGGATAAAACATAAAAACTAATACACTTTTATTTAACCATTTTTGCTAGCTAGGTCTCCAATAGAACTGCTAGCCTACTTGCCGTTTAGACTAACGGTCTATGTCTTGAGCATAGACAGCTAAGCTTGGAGTCCCTTTTATGACGTCACGCCCAGCCTAGTGGAATGGAGGGGGCGTGCTTAAAACCACTGTAAAACATACCAACTTTTAATATTATATGCAGCATTTTGGTATAAAAAACATTAAAAAAAAACAATTGAGGGCAGTTCTTATCTTTATGTTTAGTAAGCACATAATTTACACTTTAACACCCGCCAAATGCGTGTGTATTTCAGCAGTGGCGTAACACACTCTCTCCTACTAGCCACTTTGCCAGGTTGAATTTTATATATACATTTTTCAACTGTAGTCTTTTAAAAAAGGCATCTAAATTAATAAACTAAGTGCAATTTAGTGTTGTCAAAAATATCGTTTTTTCGATACATATCGACACTGAAATATCTGAAACGCTTACAATACTATTTTTTCCGAAGAATAGACACACGATACCAGCTGCTCTTTCTCTCACTCATCTCTCTGACAGCGAGTGACAAACAACAATCTCTGTTACTTTAATTTCCTATTATCACTGTAAAGCTGCTTTGAAACCATCTATATTGTTAAAAGCGCTGTATAAATGAACGTGACTTGACTTGACTAAGTGAACGTAAACAGTTGAGAAAGAAAACACATGTGTAATAGTGTAATGGATCTGTGCATCAGGTCTTAAAGTGACAGCAGCGTAATATACCTGCTGTCTAATTATGAGATAATATTGAAAATATCTATATGGCAGTTTTTCCCCATGGTATCGATGTCAAAATTGCGGCCAGTGAAAATGCTGAGTGGCTAGTAACTTTGGAAAACCACTAGCCACAGCGGCTGGTGAGCAAAAAAGTTAATGTCAAGCCCTGTTGATGACGTACGATTCAATACATCTCAGTGTTTGTGTCTGTTCTTACTCACTTTCCTGAAAATGAAAGTTTTTGAAAGACTTGTCACTCAGTGTGCAGTTACATTGTTACACTCTCTTTGAGTGAGTCATTAAACGAAAACGTCCAAAAACGCTGATTCCTTAAATGATAGATGTAATGATACAAGGTGTTAATTATTTTGTAACTTTGAGCTCCACTTTTCAAGGCTCAGCTGACCAGCAATTCTGATTTTGGGCAAAGCTGAAGCAATGCTTCACTTAATAGAGACCAATGGCATTGATTCAGTGCGTGACTCACTGCTTTTTTCCCCCCACGGCTTTTTCGCGCTGTGTAATGCTGACCAGCGCTGACGCCATTCATGGTAAACACCCTTACTTGTTAAAAGGATGATACGACAAATATATATACGACAAACGGCAACCTTTTCACGAATATACATGACAAAGACAGACGCAGGCAATCGCACGCGCTCAGTCGATCTCATTCACTGTCTGTTCAGGCTTAAGTCCAAATCCACGAAGCCTCTGTACAAATCACCATGATAAACAGTCTTGTTATCATTACTAACTTATTTAACATTCAATAGGGCTTGGGCGTCGTGACGTCATTACTTGGCGTGGCGGCCATGTTGACAGCTTCGCGAATGTAAACATACAGCAAGTCGAACGAGGAGAAGCAGCATAGTTGGGAGAAAGAAAAGAAAAAAAGATGTTAAAATCCCTAAAAGGATGTGGAATTTACCGGGATACGTTAAATAGAGAAACCAGGCACCGTTGTGGACAAAATCGGCACTTTTAACGGTTTAGATCCATATGAAATTTCCAACGCATTCTCATCCTTTGGCGTCATATAGGTGACGCCATATGACATTTCATCGAAATCTTACGCACATGGCATCCTTTAGCGTCAATATAACACGCACTGTTATGGGTAGGTTTAGGTCTGGGGTCGGGTTACGGTTATGACGCCTTGGGATCTGCGTCTCATATTCACGCTAAACGATGCCATGTGCGTTGGATTTACACGCGCGTCACCTGTATGACGCCTTGGGTTCTGCGTCTCATATTGATGCTAAAGGATGCCATGTGCGTAAGATTTCAACGAAATGTACAAGCGTCACATGTATGACGCCAAAGGATGAGAACGGGCTGGAAATTTCCAACAAAGTGTCGGCAAACAGTGGGAACACAGTAATCCGGACAAAGGTACGCTGCGCTCCACCTAGCTGCTAGTTTAGTAACCGTTAGTGCTAACAACCATTCACACATGTACTTTTAACTGTGTTTCAAAACTGTAGTTAGTAGCTGTCAACCCTCCCATTTTTTCCGGGTTTCTCACGTATTTGAGCTCTTTTCCCGCTGTCTTCCCGTTTTAGTATTTTTTTCCTGTAAAATATCCCCTATTTTAATACTCTCATAACATTAACGTTAGCCCTTCCATCGGACCTGTCAGTCTCTGAACTGTTGTCCTGTTGCTACCCCCTTGCCCTAAGCATCGTTTTGCTTACTAACTTAAGTTTTGCTTAAAACAGCTACTAACTACACTTCTGAAACACATAGTTAAAAGTACATTACATGTGTGAATGGTTGTTAGCACTAACTGTTACTAAACTAGCAGCTAGGTGGAGGGCAGCTTACCTTTGTCCGGATTAAGTCACTGTGTTCCCACTGTTTGTTGGAAATTTCATATGGATCCAAACTGTTAAAAGTGCCGATTTTGTCCACAACGGTCCCTGGCTTCCCTATTTAACGTATCCTGGTAAATTCCACATCCTTTAAGGGATTTTAACATCTTTTTTTCTTTTCTTTCTCCCAACTCTGTTGCTTCTCCTCGTTCGACTTGCTGTATGTTTACATTCGCGAAGCTGTCAACATGGCCGCCACGTCCCAGAATGCAACGCGGCACCCAAGCCCTGTACACATGGTACGAAGGGTGTAGCCTGTAGTTATTCATTCATTCATTCATTCATATTTTTTATTTCATTCTTTTGAAAAGAAATGAAAAGGAGCAAAAAGAAGATAAACTTATAATATCTATTATTCCAGTTAGGGTGTAGTTATCGCGACAGCCCTACAAGCGTGACTGATGGGCTGCAAGTAGAGAGAATGCATATCACATTTCGGCTCCCGCACTCTTTAGAATTGCAGTACATTCACGGCAGACAGACGCAAGTGCTGTTAGCCAAAGGTTCAAAGACCAAAATGTAAAAAGTGAGATGAGCAATGATATGTATGTAACATCTTGAGGGTTCGAATAAGATACTGAAACCGGTGGTTGAAATAACACAATAGCTTTTACTGGGAACTGCCAGAGAAAAGCCACATATACACACACAGACACAGCTCACTTCCGAGCTTCCTGATTACACTAAGTCACGTGACCTAAGAACCAATCTCATCACTGCATTTCCTCACATGAGAACCCCAACATGAGAAACCCAGTCTACTACAATGTATTTCACCGTGTTCTCCTGCATTGCAGGTAGCAAAGAGGGCTGTCACTTTACGTTCGAAAATCGACTGCACAATCGATCGGACCAACCAACACAAGTATCGAAAATGAAAATAGGGAATCGATTTTAACGGTCTTCTCTCGGAACGCGTCCAGCTCGTCACGACACGCCCGCGTCACACAGCAACTGCAGGCTCTGACAAACACACATACAAACTATACTATACTTCTGCATAATGTGTCTCTTTTTACAACAAAAATGTAAATTCTACCGGTATTCAGACAGTCTCATGCATACAGATACAGATTCGGCCTACAATCGCCTACGTAGGCGAAATTTGTTTGACATTTCTAATCGTAAACACAGCCATGTCGAAGCCTGCAGTCATGTTTTTCATTGATGTTATGGCAGTCCACTCTGCTTATTGTTTTTCGAGAATCTTGCGCTCCTGTTTGTCATTGTGCACGAAACTTCATGCCAATAAATCATCAGAAGTATTGCTGACTTGTGCGCGTCTCAAGCGCCCTCTTTACGCTCGTCCTAATGCCTGTTAGTTGTCCGTGGATTCGCCTATATTTGGCGCTGAAAATGGAAACTTCTTTAGACATGGAAAATCGATTTTACAATCGATTCAATGAACATTTATGTCTCAAAAATCGATCAGCATTTTTTCACAAAAGTGACAGCCCTAGTAGCAAACAACAGGGGTAAACACCTGCTGCTTCGATGATGCAAAAGCATCACGGTTCGGACCCAAACAATATAATGTGAACACAATCCAGCGGTGGCAGGGGGAGGGGAGAGCAATTGAACTCGGTTCGGACCATGCAATGGAACAGAGTGTGAGATAGAGAGAAGAGATGAGGACTCACCCAGGTAGGGGATGCAGGACACAATCTTCAGGGAGCGGATGTACTCTCTCATCCTGACGTAGTTATGCTCTTTAGACGTCAGGTAGTCCAGCTTGTCAAACGTGGCCTTGTCCTTCCTATTGATCAGCTAAAGAAACACAGGAAAGTTGCGGAGTTCTGTTAGTTTTTCATCTGAAACACAGACCATATTGGGAAGCTACTCAACAAAAGTTTAATGAGATACAAGCAGCACATAATCAGGCCCACATGGAAACGCTGCTGAATTCAACACCAATAATCAATTACAGATTCCATTCCATGCATTGTTTTAATTATGTTACTGTTGTAAATAAAACAAAGATGAATTAAGTTTTTAAACAAGAAGATTCTATTTCAGTATATCTACTTCAAAATTGAATGTTGAATTCAATGGGCCCTATTTTAACGATCTAAAACGCAAGTGTCAAGCGCGAAGCGCAAGTAACTTTGTGGGCGGATCTCGGCGCTGTTGCTCTTTAACCGGCGGGATAAATGACTCTTGCGCTCGACGCAAATCTAAAAGGGGTTGGTCTGAAATAGCTTCATTATTCATAGGTGTGGTTTGGGCGTAACAGGAAACAAACCAATAAGAGCGTCATATCACATTCCCTTTAAGAGCACGATGAACGAGGCGCGCTTGTTCCATGGCGCAATACTATTATAACGGCGCATTTACCAGGCGCGCTTCAGAATCGGTTCTCAGCCGAGGAGATCGATGTTCTCGTCAGGGCCGTAAAAGAAAGAGAAGTGACATTGGGGACGGGACAAACCCAGCCAAATTAGCTTCGGTTAAACATGCATATAATAATTTGGGTAAATGTGTAAGCTTGCCTATTTTTCCCATCGTCATGGACACAACAATGATTTCCCTCGTGTTTTAATATTTTTCCTTATAATAATATATCATTTGCAAAAAGTAAAATGCATCTGTGTAGATGAGAGAATCATCTACAGTGTATGCGCGTTGTTCACACTCTGTATTATGGCCAAGCATGCACGCTTAAAATAGAATCTGAATGTACGCGCCACTGACTTTAGACTAGGTTTTTTCTGGTCAGTGGCGCAATTGTTTTCTGGAACTGCAAAATAGCACTAGGGAATGTTTGCGCCGAAACACGCCTCTTTTTTGCGCTGAACCGCCCAGGGAGCGCAAGTTCATTTCCTAGTTTACCGGCGTGCGCCTGTGGAGGGAAAAGCCTGCTTTGCACGGGTGCAAAATACGAATGATACATGCGTCAGTGTACAAAGTCAATTGCGCCGGGTGCAAGATAGAGCCCAATGTGTTACTTGCCTTGCCTTTGTAATTATTTGTGAAATTCACCATCAATTTCTGAGTGAAAATTCTTTCAGAGTAAATTCTAATCGATTTTTTAGTCAATAAGTTTTCAGTGAACAATGACTTTCAGTCTCTTAATTACTTGTCAGTGTTTAAGTGGCTGAGGACTGTATTGGCTACCAAACACAGATTTAACCCTTTTTGTGTTAATTGTGTTAAAATCTTGTTATTCCATTTTGATGATTGTCAAGCTACAATAAAGGTTTTCTGTTTTTTCCCGACTCTTGCTGTTTTTCAAAGTGTAAATTCTTGGCAAATTGCATGGAAACCAATGGGGGTCAATTTGACCACAAACACAATCGATGAAACCAAAATTTGTACAGCCTTTCCAAAACAAACTATGTGTTTAAACTTTGCATGCACATTCATGATCCTAAATGAGAAATTCACAAAATTCAATAAGAAATAAATAGTTAAACAATTGCTTCAAACAGTTTAACAATCAAAAGTTGACCATAACACAATTTAAAATCTATTTCCAGTTGCACAGAGTGAATAAGCACAGCTGGTGGATCATAAGGGGATCTTCTCAACATGCCGAGCAAATGCAAACAAACGTCTTTCAGCAGCCCGTCCCGAATGAATGAACAACCTGTGGAGAGAAACTATCAGACCAACTGTTTCTGAAGCTTCTTTTAGACTTCACAGCTGTCATGCCCCGGGTTTGACCTGCGCTACACACTCTGAGAAAACACACACACACACGCGTTGAAATCATAATAATGTATATGGAGTTGTGTACCTCAATCATTTGTGTGGTAAATCAGGGTCAAACTGAGAAGATAAAGCTGCTATTCAGGGACCTATTGATTTCAAAGCTAAACTCTACACAAAATAAAGGTTCTGTAACGACATCTGTGGCTCCATGAGGATCCTTTAACATCCATGGAACCTTTCCATTACACACAATATATTTTTTTATTTATACTAAGACATTTATTTATTTATTGTTATGTTATTTTAAGAACAGTTCAATGTAAGGTTCTTTGAGGAACCAAAAATGGTTCTTCTGACTATGACATCAAACTGTGAAAACCCCCTTTAGGAAACTTAATTTAACAGTGAAGTATGTGAACTAAAAACTTTTCAGATTTGCTTTCAATGTGGTTTCAGTTGGAGATTGTTTATTAATACTTTACAATAAGGGTTTATTTGTTATAATCAACTGCATTAGTAAACATGAACCAAGAGTAAACCACACTTCTACAGCATTTCTTAATATTAGTCAATGTTCATTTCTACATTCACTGGTAACACTTTACAATAAGGTTCATTAGTTAACATTAGTTAATGTTTTAACTAACATGAACTAACCATGAGCAATACATTTGTTAATCTTTGTTAATGTTAGTTAATAAAAATACAGCTGTTGATTGTTTGTTCATGTTAGTTACCTGTGCATTAACTAATGTTAACAAGATTTTAATAAAGTATTAGTAAATGTTTAAATTAACATTAGCAAAGATTAATAAATGCTGTATAAGAGCAATTCATTATTAGTTCATGCTAACTAATGTAGTTAACTAATGAAACTTATTGTAAAGTGTTACCCATTTACTAATGCATTTTTTAAATCAAAAGTTGTATTTGTTAACATTATTTAATGTACTTTGAACTAACATGTACAATTATATTTTTACTAAGATAATAAATGCTGTAAAAATATATTGTTTATTGTTGGTTTATGTTAGCTAATGCATTATGTTCTATATGTACTAGTCTATAATGCATTATAGTGTCACCAGTTGTTTTATGATTATACATTTGTATATAATGCCATTTCTCTGCTCTGCAAGTGCAACAACATCTAAAGAATCAGTGAAAAAAACATGAAATTCAAATCTAACGATTGCAAAACATCTTCTATTCAAAACATTCTGGCCTGTTTTCCTCAGAAGGGTTTTAATAGTTTATTCTGTACCTTTGCCAACCCAGCTTGTTCCAAAATACAACCAACAACTCCAAAGCCAGAGCGGGCGTATGGTGCAAAACTCCTGAGACAGCGAGCCGGGTCTCCATCCATGAGCCTCATTAATAACCACTGCGACTGCTCACGCCATGAGCTCATGGAAGCTGCCATCTCACTGCTTTACGAGGCTCTTGGGGACAATGCTAAAAGCTTGTACATTTGCAGTGGTAAATGCCTCATGATGGGAAGAAATAGACACATTTGAAATTCCACTGACTATGGCAGAAAACAGAGGTGTGGTGCATTCGGCCTCAAGACTTTGAGAAGGAAACATCAAGGTGCTAGTCAAGGAACTCAAAAAATGCATATTTTACACTGTATATAAAAATGCTGGTACATAATGGTGCACTCTAAACAATGCTGGGTTGTTTTAACCCAAATTTGGGTAAATTATGGACAAACCTAAATGTTGGGTTAGAAATGTAATTTCAAATTTTAACCCAACTTCAACTTTCACTTTCACCTGTAAATTTTTGAATTGCATTTTTAACCCAACATTTGGGTTTGTCCATATTTGACCCAAATTTGGGTTGAAACAACCCAGCATTTTTTAGAGTGAGAAGGCTCTCGTTTGACAGAATTAATAACTAAAGGGGTTTTCCATATTTTCCTTGATCTTTTGACATATAAGAGGTCGTTATACTATACAAATATCCTGCAAGTTTCAGAACTCAAAGCTTCCTTGTTAGTCCAGAAACAGCTTTTATTGAAGCCAAGCTTCCAAAACGACAAAAGAGATCAACGCCTACTTCTATATCATAACCTCTTGAGCCACGTCCAGCGATTCACGCATGTCATGTAGTCAATACGAGAGAGACGCATGTGCAGGTGAAACTCAAATTAGAATATCGTGCAAAGTTCATTTATTTCAGTAGTTCAACTTAAAAGCTGAAACTAATATATTATATAGACTCATTACATGCAAAGTGAGATATTTCAATCAAGCCTTTATTTGTTATAGTTGGCTTACAGATATGAAAACTTTTCACAATATTCTAATAAAAAAAGCTCTAAGCCATAATCATCACAATTATAGCAAATAAAGGCTTGAAATATCTCACTTTGCATGTAATGAGTCTATATAATATATTAGTTTCACCTTTAAGTTGGATTACTGAAATAAATGAACTTTTGCACGATATTCTAATTTTTCGAGTTTCACCTGTATATTTAGATTTATGCATTTATCTAAAGCTGCTTACATTGCATTCAAAGAACACATTTGATTAGTTCATCATGCATTTCCTCGGCATTGCTAGAGCCCTGATTGAGCTTAAAAAATGTATGTTTAGAAGTATGAGCATTAGTAATAGGTATGCTTGAGCAAACGCCACTAAATGCAAGTACTGTAATAAAGTCTTCACCTGTGAGCTGGACATGCCAATTGCATGGATATATTGTAAAGGGCTGAAGCAGCGCAGTGGGATTGAAGGAATAAGATATTACACAGGAGGAAAGTTGATTCCTACAGCGCAGACAGCCTTAATATATCACTCCACACTGACACAATCCTTTCCGAACATGCAAGCAGACAGATATTCTTTTAGTGGCTATAGGAACATTTTTACAGTGGGATTTCAGACTAAGTTCAGTCAGCACCAGAACTATAAAGACACGAGTACTCAACTCCACCAGCATGGAAACTTCAGAATGACCCGATAAAATGGACCATGGAATGGGATACGAGGAATGGGATATGAAATTAGGACAGTCAGCATCGTGGTGTTGTAGTTGGCAGTGGGATAAGAAGTTTAGGAAGACACTGTGTCGTGTTTCAGGTTTGTGGTGAGCAGCAGATTTCACT